ACCCCCCACCCCCCCAAACACACACACACCGCAGTGACAGCGGCTCCCAAAAATGTCCATGTCAGCGCGCGACCGTGCGCAATCACGCACGTGCCCCGTCGGTCAAAGCCGACCTCGGCACAAAATGGCAGGTCTCCGGAACTTTGCACCCCCACTCCCCCCAGCCTCGGAGCCGGAGCAAAGTTGCGGGTTCCGCCGCCGCGCGCACTTTACGCACACGCGGGGCTCCGGAGCAGAAACCCGCCGCGGGTTAGAGTCTGTGCTGGTGCTCCGATAATTGCTGTGATTTTCTAATCATGGGGGGGCGGGGGGGTGACTCGGCCCGGCCCGGCTCCTCTCACCTCTGACGAGTTCTGCTCGGTCCTCCCTGCGGACACTTTCCCGTCAGATGCGCCGGTATGAGCCGGTCCTGCCGCCCCGAGCCGCCGGCCAGCAGCCCGCCCGCCCCCCTCCTCCCCGCCCGGTGAGCGTCGCGGTAAAGAGCCGCTCCGCTCCGGCGTCGCAGCTGCCGAGCCCGGCGGTGATCGCGCCCATAATCCGCTCCTCGGCGCCTCTCCCCCGGCAGGAGGAAGAGCGCCTCGCGCCCACCTCCGAGAGTTTCTGACCTTCAAGTCCCACAAACACGTCTGAATCCCGGGCTGCTCTCCGGCACCGAGCCCGGCGGGTCCCCACTCCCCGCTCCCAAAAGTCGGATCGCTTACCTTGGGTGAGCCGCGCGGTCCTCTCCTCCGCTCCTCGCCGCAGAAAGTCCGGGATAAACGAGTGTTTCCTGCTCTGCGTCCTGAGCGCCGCTTAACACGAGTAACGAGTGCTAAAAATGACGCTCATCTATCTGCGCTGTAACCTTGTGGCGTATTTAATGTAAATAAGCCTCGTTGTGCTGCCAATCCCCGCGCACACACGCAAAGCCGCTCCTCGGGGACTCGCGCCGATGTTTTAACGCTTTATTATTTGTGCCTGAACGCGCGAGAGAAGAGAATTATTAGAGAATATGACAGATCGATAACGCGACTGCAACGGATGGCTCTCCACGCACGGCTCCGTGGAAGCGATCCCTGCCCGGAGTGAAAAAAGAAAAAAGAGTTTTCTTTGAGGAGGGGAGATTTCCAACAGGAGACCTCAACTTCGAGTTGGCACAACTTTTTTTACGCGATGCGTAAAGAAAAAAAAGCACACATGACAGAAAGACGTCGCGCACTGGCTCGACTGCAACTACAGGCTGCCTGTGCGCGGTGCTTTGGATATATTATGCTTCTATAGGGGGGTGGAAGAGACTGAATAATGCAATTATAGATTCAGTGTCCCAGCCTTGACAAAAGACAGGGCTTCAATGGAGGCTTTGTTAAAGGATTATATAATGATTATGGGGTAATTATGGGAACGGTTTGGTAATAATAAAAAAGTATCAAGTGCTCTCTTGTACGGACAGCTTGTTTTCTACAATGTAAGAGCACGATAAGACGGACGGACAGACAGGCGGTGCTGCTGACAGCTAGTGGCGGGATGACGGCAGACAGCCTCGATTATTCAAAATGTCGAACCGAGAGAGGCATTAATGTCAGCGCCTGAGATGCTATCAGATGTCCGCGGAACCGGACGTGGGCCCACAGCGGGGTATCTGGGGGTCATATTCAGAAGAGCCCCCTCCCAGCTCCCAGCCACTGCTCTCGTGATCTTCTCCCCTCTGCGTGCTGCTTGTGTCACGCCGAGGAACATGGAAGCGGTCAGTGTGACAGCGCGCAGGAGTCAAACACCTCCACGTCTTCTCTGAATTCCACGCAGACAACTTTCACCGCGTGAAATCTACACGCAGCTGCGGCGAGCAGCTTTCATCCCAACCACGGGGCAAACGAGAGAGGCTGTAACATCCCGTGCCAGCCGCTGGCCGCCTGCTTTTAAAAGATATTTGCAGCTCTGTGACACATTAGTGGACCAGCTCGCTGCCTCATTATGCGCTATGAAAATCTGATTCCCATGCTGCTCCTAAATGCTCCCACGGAATTCACTTTCTTTTCTTCGTTTTTCTTGAGCATTTTCCAACATAATAATAAAAACTTTTCCTCCTCCTCCCCCCAGGAAATTAGCATAAGCATTGCCCATCAATAACAGGGCTATCTCTATGGGAGTGATAGCAGCGAGCAGTAGGGGTGTTTCTTTTACCGATTCTCCATGGATCAACAGCGCGTCATCAGCTCCTTTTGAACTTGTTATAGCAAGTCAAGTGATTCTTTATCGGCTGACAGGCCTGACAATCCTTCGGCGCTGGGAAAGCAGGTCCAAAGGAAGTGGCCATATGGACTTGAGCATGCAAATTTACAACAATGCGCAAAACTCGTGTTGTTCTCCGCGACGCACGGCGACGTGGAAGCGCGAGAAACACGCGTGCAGGTGGACCGTCAGCGCGTGCACGTGTGCGACACACACCGACACGCTGGCCTGTGCACGCAGGACAATTAAACCGAAAATCACTGCGATGGTTTTAATATAAATTAGTCAGACGAATTTAAAATATTTCCATTATTTTATCAGTTTATCTAATAAAAAATGGCAAATAAAAGTATTTTATTAATTATATTTTTATCTTAAATTTAATAAAACTCCAGAGGTTAAAAAATAAAAATAATAATAATAATAATTAGAGTAAAACACACGAACAAAAATCGACATTAGCTAAGGAGGAAAATACAAAAGCAATTAAATGAAATTAGGAAACATTTACGCGGTGATGACAGGAACGTCTGACTGTCTCACATGATGACTGAAAACCAGCTAAACTTCATGTAAGATGAAGAGCTCAGATTTTGTTGATTTTTTTTGGAGGGACAAATTTACATAATAATAAAAAAAACTAGTCAATAAAATCAGAAATAGATCCAGGGACAGCTGGAAATAAGAACGAGTGCTGGGACAGTTTTCTGTTGGATGTAGGTCAGTTAGTGAGACCCAGAATATCTCAGTAAATAAGAACATCACAGTGTGGAAGGACAAAGCAGATCACATCACTGATTTAGCTGCGGTAAATAATCTGGCAGGGTGAGAACAAGCGTCAGTGCTGGTGATGCCTCTCAGTCCACAGTAGACAGTATGCAGCAAATGCATGAATATCACAATAATCCAACACTGGCAGAGTGAAAGCGTCTCTGACCTCAAACAGAAGAAAAATCCAGCTTGAACTTGAGTTTCTCTGAATGTGTTTCTTAATGTGATAATGTGTTAATGACATAAAACAGGGTCAGATATTAAATAACAGCCCAAGTATTTGTACTGAGGTACCGATTCAGTGTTAATTACTTTACTTTTATTAGCACACAGAACAAACTGCAGAGGGTTTAAAAGCTGATGATAGTCAACATCACTACCACAACTCTCTGTATTTTAAATGAAAGAGTGGTCCCAGGATGGAGCCCTGCGGCACGCCCTCATCAGCCAGCTGTTTACATCCCAGAGGCACAAAATAACAACGTTTCATCAAAGCTGTGTCCTTATCATCAGTCCCGTGATAAACATGCAGCGGTGAGACACGTGTTTACTCTGATCTCTTTTTTTTTCTGCTAGCAAAGAAAAGACGCAAAGGCAAAAACCAGACGTCCACAGTCGCAGCCTGATAATCAGCACTTTCACCTCTAAAAGCCATCCAGCGTTCATGGATGCTCGAAACCACACGCAGGACGATCCACACGCAGGACGATCCACACGCAGGACGACCCACCCACGACGCCGTCAAAGCAAAGCAAGTCCAAGGTGCAGCACGGCGCCCTGACCTCTAAAGGTGGATGTTTGTACGTTAATCGTATTTTCACTGTAACCAGGTTTTGCCTCAGGGCCTGCTGTGTCCCTCTGATGGTTTTAACCATTTACAAACCTTTATAAACTTTAAACACCAACCCAACCCGGGACACAGAAACGTGATGAATTTAACAGTAAATAAAATAAAGTTTCACTCCCTTTATTTTATTTGAATTTATTCAAGATGTGACGATGCTAAATAATAAAGATAAAAAGCCTCGGATCAAATTACATCTGGATTGTTTCAAAGTTAGAGCGGAGAAGCGTGTGTGACAAATAATATCACTAGTGTGAGGTCAGAGCAGGTGACGCTTCAGGCTCCAACAGGTGTCAGGTGCGTTTCCGATCCGGCTCAGCCATGTTCAAACGACCCCTCGCATCGCTAACGGCTCCTTTCAAAATGAGCCGGTAAACAAGCCGGGAGGACAGAGTTTGGAGGCGTCCTGCATTCAGGGCTCGGTCGAACAGGCTGCCTTTCTGTGTGTGTGCTGAAGGGAGAGGAGGCAGAGGGAGTGTTGGCCGGCAGTCCTGGGAGGGTCATCGCTGCCTTATTACTGCCATGTTAGTGACTAGCAGCTGAAGATGGCTCCGCTCCCTGCCCCTCTGCTTGGGAGTCGTCCAAGACAGCGTGCTCCAAAAACAGACCGGCCACTGTTCGCCTCTCAGATAGATTAAGATGTTATTCCACCGCTCGGCCATCTCGATCTGCCTCTCTGTGTCTGCTGCCCCGCACCGAGCCCAGATTTACCACATGGCCTCCTGTTCGTCAGCATCTCCAGAGGCCTCGTGCTAATTTCATCTGGGAGCAGATACAACAGCGTAAGAGCATGGGTGCAATATGACAGCAAGGTTTTCTGCCGCTGAGGGAAACATGTCTCTGTGTCGCTGTGATGACTGCATGCTTCTCCAAAGCCACATATTGTGCCCAGTTTAGATTTAAATGCAAACACAGCCAAGACTTCCCCCGGAGGAAAAGAAATGCTTTTCTTTACTTCAAATTGAGTTTCTCAAAGTCTAATTTGTAGCAGGCCTTTGATGAACGAATGTTTTCAGACGATCCTGCTATAATGAAAAGGGAGTGAGTGCAATTTTAAACAATCTGAAGCCCTGAACCCTCCCTGACTGTAAACTTTAAAAATTAAACTTTAGAATTTGTATCAATTACACTTTCAAGTCCTGACAGGGCCTTAAATAACAGCCAGGAGCGCCGCTGTGGAAAATGTTTACCGCTCCAGATCCATTTCCACTGCCGTCCGTCTCCTCCGCCGCTGACATCAATTCCTCATGTGAGGCATTTACATTTTCAACAAATACACACCGAACGCACACACTACCGTCCCGGGCGCTCCCCCGATGACTGGGGTCAACGAGTGTGCGTGTTTGTCAGCTCTGATCGTTAATGAAACGCTCGCACAAATACAGCACGGGCAAATATTTAGAGGCCGGCCTGAGGTTTCATCACAGACAAATGTGCGATTCTTCGGGGAGAGCTATACTTCTTTATTTGCCCGGATACGCCGTATACCCGAGATCAAACTTGTCTGGGCTTGATGAATGCGGAGCGGCAGGAAGTATACTGCCTTTGACCGATAAGCAGTGTGATTTTAATTTAAATCATATGAATCAACGTCTGCCCGGAGCAAAAATAAAATATATTTAAATGAAACCATCTGACTCTAATTGATTAAGAACAATGTTCCACATAGTAGGTCTAGAATATCCTTGTTTTGATACTGATTTGATTTCTATGTGTTCAAGTATCACAGCCCCAGTTTGGGCCTCTCGTGTGTGGCCGTTACACTACAGCAGGGACCCCCCCAGCACCCCCCCTGAGAGGAGAGGAAATGTGATCTGTTTGTTCTGTTTGGACACGACTTGTTTTTTGTGACCGTCCGCACAAATGTGAAAAGCTTCAGGCCCCCCCCCCTGGTTTTATTCAAGACTGTCGTCCCACAGGAGCTCATCACTGGGGAAACCTGGCAAACATGTGGTCAGCTTTGGATTGGGCTTCACTGAACGCCGAAGGAGGAAGAGCACCTCTCAAAGGGTGGAGCAGACGTGGACGCCGCGCTGCGAAGCGTTCAGTTTACTTTTGTTCATATAACACCGACCGCGGTCACCTCAAGGTGCTTTGTAGTGAAAAGTAAAGATGCCTCCTCATGAACGAGCACTCGGCGACAGCGGGAAGTGCTGTCGGGGACGGCCTACCACCTGAGAGACGACCTACGCTCTCATCCTTGCTGTGACCGCGAGCTGACGTCCAGGATGGAAATGAGATCCCGAAGGGCGTCTCGCCTCGGCCTGAAGTGGGAATCGTGCTTTCCGGGTGGAGGTCCACGCGCCTGCCTGTTTCTTGTGACTCATCTGAGGAAAATAACACGCTCCAGCACGCGCACAGGTGTCGACCGGACTTTC